AAAGGAAAGGAAAGGAAAGGAAAGGAAAGGAAAAAGAAAAGGAACGTCTTCCACCCCTCCTGAGTAACCTGGGGATGAAGTGGGACCTATCCAACTTCTTAACATTAGTCACCGTTGTCAAATAGTAAATATGTGGAATGTCAGTTTGGTTGACTTGATGTCATTTTGCCTTTGTTTTACATTTTTCAGGAGAAGTATTCTTGCAGATTAAAGGGCCCCTGGAAGATATTTATAAAATCTACTGCTACCACCATGATGAGGCGCACAGTGTACTGGAATCCTATGAAAAGGAAGAAGAGCTGAAGCAACATTTGAGCCACTGTATCCAGTCCTTAAAGTAAGGCCTTTTCAAATGATGATTTCCATGCCTAGCAGGGAACATTTTAACTGGATGTAGATGAAAGTTCTCACATAAATCCTATATTTGATGAGGCTTGCTGGGAGCTCCACTTTGTGTTCTCTTTATGAAAAGCTGACATGCCAGAAACCCTGATTGACTCTTTTCTCCCCCCTGTGAGCATGACTAAAAATAACATGGGAGAAGATTCAGGGCTCTGTAGAGATAGAAAAATGCAATATCAAAAAATGAAATGTGGAAGAAAAGGCCCTTCTTAAAGCTGTTGTTACCTCCCTGCCCACCCCCCACCATGAGACAGCATGGGGCACCGTGACCACTGCAGCATGTGGAATAATAAAGTTAGTGGAATGTTCCATGGTTCTCTGATGGCTCTCACTTTTCCCCAGATTCACTAGACCAGGTTCAGTCAGACCCTGTTCAAGTTAGTTTCAGGAGTTAGTTATGCCTTCCTTCTTTATCCTTAAAGTTTTGGTGCTACATAATATACATTTTTTTTAATCTGGAGGAAATTATTCACCATAAAAATCTAAAAAATATAAGGAAGTACAAATAAGACAAAAACACTTGCTATTCCATGTATTAACTCTTTGCTAGACCATGTATTAACCACAGCTTGCATTTTTTCTGATTTTATTTATATGCATAAATATGGATATGTGTTTGGGTTGATTCTCCTAAATGGAATTGGTATCTTATTTTGTATGCAGTGTTCTACCACATGAAGCTAAAGCCGACATTTCTGCCCTACTCCACATCTTACCTAGTGGTTCTATTGTGGTGTTTCATTTCTAAGGATTACCCATTGTCAAAGAATTAACCAGAGAGAGTTGTGATATCTTAATCAAAGCATACCCAGCAGTCTGAGCCTCTAACATATTCCCCCATTAGGTACTCTATTGCAGGAGGACAAATATGGGGGTCTTAATGTGGTACAAGAGGTTGGTAGCTAAATTAAAATGAGATCATGAGACTACAGTAATCCCCCATCTTATCCATGGGAGATATGTTCCAAGACCCCCCCCTACACACTGGATATATAGGATTTGGATAGTACCAAACCCTATATATACTATGTTTTTTGTATACATTCATACCTATACCTACGATAAAGTTTAATTTATAAATTAGGCATGGTAAGAATTTAACAACAATAACTAAAATTGAACAATTATAACAATATACTGCAATAAAAGTTATATGGTCTGTCTCTCAAAATATCTTGTTGTACTATACTCACCCTTCTTCTTGTGATAATGAGAGATGATAAAATGCCTCCATGATGATGCGATGAAGTTAGGTGAATGACATAGGCCTTGAGAAGTACTGTTAGGCTACTATGGACCTGCTTAGGATCAGTCATCGGAAGGAGGACCATCTGCTTTCGGATCACGGTTTTTCCGTAGTAACAGAAACCCCGAGAAATGAACCCATGGATAGGGGAATTACTGGTCTCTGGAAAATGTCTTTCCAGGGGAGAGCTGGGATTGAAAGTGGGTTTAAACAGGAGCCAAATAATTTTTAAAAATTAATGTTACTGCCCTCTATTGGTCATTAAGTTGTTGCAGTTCTTTACCCATTTTTCATATCATGGAAAGACTATATTCAAGTCGCAAAATCACAAGCATGTATGTAGTGCTTATACTATACCGAGCATAGCTCTGGGTGCTGAAAATAAAAAAAAATAATAATAATAAATGAGAATTCAGGTAACTCTTAAAGATAATATGTGACGTGTAGCTCCGGTTGAGTATTTTTCCACTATTTGCAGTTTAGTTCAGTGTTAGAAATCAATTCGGAGAAACCTGGAAGTTTGAAGTTGTATCCATGTAAATAAATTCATATATTAAAAGCAACATTGTCTAAATATGTATGGAGAAATAATGGTGTTATCCGGGGTGTGAATATCTACTTTTCCTACCTTATACTAGTGGCAAGATCTTATCAGTAAATGTCTTACTTGAGTCACTCTCCTTCTTCAATTTCTAGAAATAAAAATCTCACAGCAAGTGAACAACTAGGACCTTTAACTATCGCTCCAACTACAACCTCAGGAATGGAGGTCCATACCAGGAACGGATGTAGCTAATTTACTTTGGCATGTGCCCCTAACAGCTGACTAGAAGTGGGGCCGTCTGTTCAGAGTGGGGTGGACACTAGTTTATTCATCATTAAGGCTTTTGACCCCTAAGAGAAAGAAATGGACCCTGCCAGAATACTCCATTTGGCAGTGTAGTTCAGTATCATACCCCCTAAAAGCAGCTAAAAGGCAGAGGTAATTTTGAAACATCATGAAGTATCAATTACTAAAAATGACTTTCAGACCCAATGACTTATTTGATCTTTTTCTGAAAGCCTTGAGTTATTGCCCTGGTGGATGTCCCAAATCTTGTGTATTCAGCACTACTCTGATTCTAGGGAGTAATTTCAGGCACTGGAAGGTGCTAAGGCTTAGAAAGCACAAAAATCCAAGCAAAGTAATATTGACACTACTATTTCTTACGGGAAAGAAAAATCAAAATAAAATAGCTTAAGTTAGAGCTATTTTCCCAAAAGTTGCCTTTCCATGAAAATAAAGTTGATGATGAATTGTACTGGTCTGCCCAAAAGCTGAGAGCAGAATTATTGACATTACTATAATACTGGCTTCAATTGAGCTAAGCTTTAAATTCTGAGAAACAGGTTTTTAAATAGGTTTATAGGCCAAAGAGAGTCTGGAACACCCCAAGGGCTTGGTTTCCCTTGCCAAGTAATCAGTCAAAGCTATTACTGGGGCTCTGCCTTCTCCTTGTGGCTAAATAACAGAGCCCAAGTGCACAGTTGCCAATTTCTAATGAATATTAGGTGTGGCCTTCATTTCTACCGTGCAAGGGGATATTGAAGCAATATCCATGACAGAGGTGGCTTCAGGTCTCAGAAGTTAAAGCAGATTTTAAGCAACTTAGGTTGCATTTGAACTAAAATTAAAATATGTTTATTGAGGGCCTAATAAATATTTATAAAAGTACTAGATAATGTTGAAAAAAACCCACATATATATGCATAGTTCTTGCCTCCTAGGATCACACTTTCTACTTGGGTAGATAAACAAAACCATCTGGAAAGTTTAATAACAATACCAAAGTTAATTTAAATAACACACCAGAAGCTGTCACGGTAAGGTTAAAGACTAATTTCCAAAAGGAGGGTAGAGAGATTTCCTGGTTCTGTAACAGACTTGAGCTCATAACCCTTGGCTATTCTTTGAAGCCCATTATCTTTCAAAAGAGAAAATAATATTTGTATCTAGAAAATAATTTTGAATCCCTTTGAAACATTAGGACAGCATTTCCTGGTGTATGATTTCCCCTGTGTCAGATCCACAGGGATGTGTATTAAAACTGCACATTCCTAGGCTCTGCTCCAGACATACATACATACATACATACATACATACATACATAAATAGGACTGTTGGGGGTCCAGTCCAAGAAGCTATGGATTAACTAGCACCCTCAGGTGATTGTGGATACATACTCAGGCTAAGAACCACTTCAGAAGGAGAAATCAGTACTTACTAGCTGCTTTCCCTGAAGCATACGGACTTTCTTCATAACTATAGACACCATCTAAGCAGTAATTTCAGGGTTTGGGGACCTTAAGAAAGAAAAGGCTAAAACTTTCTGGGAGTGCAGTATCACATCTACATCTGTAACTTACAAATTGGAAATCTGCAAATTTTTATTTATTCAACAAGGAATATTTACAGAATCTCATTAGTGACCCGTAGGATTGCATGAAATGCTATTAATACAGTCTCTAAATTTATGGAAGTCATTTGCTAAAGCTCTGGTTACTTAGCCTCTTTGGGGTTATTTAAGGCTTCTGATCTGTATGCGAAAATGAAAAATAGAATAGCTATAAATGCGAGTGTAACTATAATTAGAATAGCCTGTCTGCTACCTCCTTATTCTGTTTTTCTAGCTATAAATACCACCAAATCCCTGCTGCCTTTCAGAGGCGCTAGAGATCTGTTTATTTTGTAATAGATAAAGAATGAAGGGGCTTTTCCAAGTTTTTTGGTAGTTGGAAGACACATTCCTAGCTTTATGTCTAGTTGTTATAAATTTGTATATATTTTTCTTTTTCCTAACCAAAGCCACCATCCTTGGGAGGAAAACTAACTTCTCGTCATGTGGGTGCTTTGGCTGTTTGTAATACTACTACAGTTTCTCCATTCAGAGAGGAAGCTAAAAGCTTGTGCAATGCAGAATCTAGAGGAATAGAGCTTAATTTGTTCACCATATTTTATACTTCTTAATGATATTCTAAAAAACGTTCCAAGTAAAAACTAAAATCATTTTTGAGGGGTGCCTGGTTGGCTCAGTCGGTTAAGCATCTGACTTTTGATTTCAGCTCAGGTCATGATCTCACAGTTTGCAAGTTCGAGCCCCGTGTCAGGCTCTGAGATGACAGTGCGGAGCCTGTTTGGGATTCTCTCTTTCCCTCTCTCTCTGCCCTTTCCCTGTTTGTTTTCTATCTCTCTCTCTCTCTCTCAAAATAAATAATAAAGTAAACATGAAAAATATTTTTAATCATTTTTGAAATTTTTCTCAATTCCTTGTTGTATGGCACCATGTTTGAACAAAGACTATTATAATTATGAAACAGCCACATAAAAACTTCTGTTAATTTTAAGTCAAATTATAATGAGGCCATGAGGGTAAGAGGTGTGGTGAGGGTTGTATTAAATTACTTTTATCCCATAAAAGGGTAAATGGACACAATTTAACTTCCTCCTTCCTGAATTGTCTTTGGCTGGGGTGAACTTCTGGAAAGTTTTAGCCTAAAGGGGAGAATTTTTAAAACGAGGAGCAAATAAAAAGGAGACATTATAAGGTAGTACTATTATTACAGGTTTTCCCTGTTGGAAAATCTCTCAGGTTCCTTTTTATAAAATGCTATACTGACATTAAATACAGTGTTTAATTTATGTTATAATATTTGTTTTATTTGGTTGAAATAAATGAAATAGAGAAAAAAATTCTATGTCTTCTTTAGGAGTTAAAAGAACAATCTTTTATTTCAACTTCAAATTTTCTGTTTGGTTCCAAAATTATCATGTTGTTCAGTTGTTTGCCCCGTAGAAAAATGCATTTATATTTTTATTCAACTTTTCCCCCAAATTTTCTGATCTATGATCCATTGAGCATACTGAGAAAATGAAATTCCTCATTAGAAGGGGACAGAAATTGAGATTAAAATGTGAATTCAAATAAATGGAAGGAAATGCTGCATGGGGGGTGGGTAATAGTGCAATTTCTTTCATTCAAGTAGAAGCATTCTTCAAATAGCATTTAATAATTGCCTAAAATGATAACAGTTGCTGATTTAAAAAAAAACTTATGATTCTCTGCTTGATTACAACAAGGAAATCTTAGATTCAGCAGAACCCAGTTATTTCAAGATGTCTAGGAATCCATTCATAAGAAGATGTGTGAAGAGAGGAGGACAAACTGTTTTACATATATATATACCATTGTTTTCCACATATGTAGAGTACTGGGATTAATTTTTTCAAACCTTTTAAATCCATTAAATCTATGAAATTCAACATGGGTATTTATCATAGATTTTCTTCTCAATCATAGAATATGAAAAGACTATCTATTGTTATGAGATGAGGTCACAAAAATTTTTCATATTGAAAATATTCATTGTATTCCAAAAGACTGGAAACCAGAGGTCGAGGTGATCAGGTTATGAACACAGTTTACTGCTTTATTTCTTTATAGCTATATGAAGCTTTTGGAAGAAAATTTCTATCTCCTTTCTGCCTGAAATTTAACTTGAATGATTCCCACTTCTTTTCTTGTTAATTAATTAATTTGACAAATATGTCTTGTACTCCTACCTGATGCCAGTCACTTTTTCAGGCACTGGGGCTACAGCAGAGAACAGAGCAAGCACACATTCTTGCCCTCATTCAGATGGGGAGCAGAGAGATAGACAACAAATGAAATAGCTGTATGGTATATTAGAAAGTGACAGTGTTACGAAGAGAAATAAAGCAGAAAAAGAGGGTAAAACGTAGAGTAGGAGGCATGGCACAATTTTTAAAAGTTTGTTTTAAAGGAACTTTAGGAAGGTTTCACTAGGAAGAAACATTTGAGCAAAGACCTGAAGGAGATACCTGAGCCAAGAGCAACCAGGCAGAAGAACTGCAAGTGCCAGACCTGGAGGCAGAAGCTTGTCTTAAGACTATAAAGACTATAAAAAGAGTCCTGTGCTGTTGCCATAGTTTGGAGGAAGTTTGGGAACAACAGGAAATGAGGTAGAGAGGAAGTGGAAGGAGAGGCAGATCACATTGCCTTGAAGGACTTCCATTTTTCCTGAGCTAGATGTAAGCCACAAAACTAGCAATGGCTAGTGAAAGTTTTTGTGAATTTTGATAATTAGTGAATTGTCATATTGAATAGGTGAATAGTTTATAACCTGGATAACACTGTATACAGAAATATTATGTAGCACTTGAGGGTAGCTTTCTACAAGTCAATTACAGTTTACTTTGTAGTGTTATAATCTCAATTTCTCCTGTCACTATGTTTAACCAATTCTATTCTCTCTTTTCATAATGTAAAAAAATTGATGTTTAAATCCATTTTCACATGATCAAAATTTACTGATTACAATCTGAATCAATAGTTTTTAATCTTATATAGAGTGTGAAACAAAGTTGGTGTAGACAAGATACAGGTAAAATTTAAGGGATGTGATTATAAAATAATGAGACTAATTCTATAAAACATTCATGAAAATAACATCACTTCATTTTATGTAATAAAAATTTAAGGGTTTTATAATGTTTGCATATTGCCTTAAGTATGTAGATTTACATTAATTTACTTTTCTCCTTCTCTCTTATAGGAAAATATACATGCAAGAGTAAGTACATTTGTTTTAATAATAGAAACCAAATGTAAAGCTCATGGGGAAAATGCTATTGAGTATTTCCAAAAATTCTAATTTTTGTTTTTTACAATTATGTTTATTGCTTCTGATACATTATTTCCAATTTGCCTGAGGTAACCCTACATATTAAATTATCTCATATATTTTACAAAATGTATTAAAAGAATCCTGGGGTATAATATTTAATAAATCACAACTTTGCTGGTTCCAGGAACTCTTTAGGAACTGCTCATCGCATGTATGTTTAGGAACTTATTGTGTCCAAAACATACCTTCCTAAGAACAACATTAGTCTTTAAAAAAAAAAAAACAAAAAAAAACCTCAGATTAATACCATAATGTTTTTGAAGTTTCTATAGATTAATGTACAAAAGAAAAGATCTTCATGCATTGTAGTAAATATTGGGTTTCTTCCAATTTGGACTCTTATATGATTTACAGAGAAAAAATCAAACACACATATAAAATATATTTAATATACATAAAATATTAAGATGAAATAGTTTGTCACTAGGACAGTATAGAAGTCATCTTATCAAAATAACACAACATATACACAACACTTTGGAAGATGTCCATTTTTATAGAAGGAAAAAACATGTCTAGTCTAATACTGAAGGATGATATTGGCTTAAATACAAACACAGATCTACCAGGACTTTTAAAAAGTACATTTACTTTCATTTTTTTTAAGGTTTATTTTATTTTTGACAGAGAGAGACAGAGTGTGAGCAGGCAGTGCGGGGGCGGGGGTTAGTGGGGGGAGCAGAGAGAGGGATACAGAATCCAATGAAGGCTCCAGGCTCCTAGCTGTCAGCACAGAACCTGGAGCCTGCTTGTGATTCTGTGTCTCCCTCTATCTCTGACCTTCCCCCCATTCATGCTCTGTCTCTCTCTGCCTCAAAAATAAATAAACGTTAAAAAAATTTTTAAAAAAAAGCATGTTTGCTTTAGCATGGTTAGTTAATTATCTAAAGGCCTGAGTTCCTAGTCTGTGTGTGTACTTGTGTACACGTGTGTACTTGTGTACGTGTGTACGTGTGTGTGTGTGTGTGTTCTAAACTTATGAAACTGTACCTCAGGAAATACAAAAATCTATAAAATAAAAATTATATTAACTTAAGCTGTAAATACCGGTCATTTATGCTTTGGTGCAGAGTGACCATGAGGAAAGACAGAATTTCAGAAGTGAGGTGGAAGAACCAGGCATCGGACAGGGAACCTTAAACTAAGGCCTTGTGCTCGTGTCTTGGCCAAATTGAGATGTTAGTTTTTGACATACCGAACAGGCACCCAGTTTTCTCTCACTTTATAAGTCTTTTCTTTCAAAGGGGGGGGGGATATATATATATAGCATGCAAACAGATGTGAGTAGTGTTGTTCAATGAGTTCCTAATTCTGAGATCATCTCATGAAAAGGTGCATGATGGAAGGGGGCCTTTGTCCTTTCACACACTGTGATCCTCCTGGCTTCTCTTCAATGATAGTTGATGCATTTGGAGGGGTGGGAAAATTGCTGTCTCCTTAAAAAGCCTTTTGCTCCGGCATTGTGCCTAGGACTAGAGATTCACATAGAAGAACTATGTGAATTACACAAGAACTTCCTATGCTACAAATTCTGCTCAGGTTTCTTTTCCTAAAGTTTTTCTCCTGTGGTTATAAAGACCAAAAAGAGAGAGAGAGAGAGAGAGAGAGAGAGAGAGAGAAGAGAGGGAGAGAAAGATTCAGAGGAGAGTGAGACATTCTTTTAATACAGTTCGCATGCACAGGCTCCCACATACAGAATACTTACAACAAACAGTACATTGTATTGAAATACTTGCTTAAAAATCGCTCTAGCTTTTAGGACAGTCCTGCTGCGTGGGAGTTAGCAGGCTTTGTATGCCCCACCCCCCAGCCTATTCTATACATCAAGAACTGGAAAAGAGGACGAGCAATCCCAGCATGTGGCTGGATGAACATCAAAGGCACATTCGCCATGAGTTATTTTCCTTCCTGTTTCTCTCACTCTGGTCATGAGGCACACATGCTGCTACATAAAAGGGTAAAAGGCAATGTCAAGTGCTTTGTAATTGTTTGGCTCCTTAGCAGCTAAGGCCAAGAATATTGCAGCCAAGAGTGCATTTAGGAAATGTAGGTTTTTAGATGCTTCAGAAAAATTCCTTACCTATGGAAATGGAAAATTGTGTCTGGGTTCTTTTTTTACAATCGACATATTTAAAGATACAGAAAAAGATAAAGATGTTTATAACTTCTAACATGTTTATTTTGAATTATAATCTTATGCAAACTTCAAAGACAGTATTAAAGTGACAAGAATCAGAGAATCCTGCACCAGAAAAATGCCCCCAAAGCATTTGATCCAAGTCCCATGTTCTAAAGCAAGAAAAACATAACTATTCTAAATTTAACAATCTCCAGAAATGCAATGTTTTATCTTTATGTTTTTCCACTTTTTTATATGCATCCTCTGTCTGACCATGTATTCTTACCTTTGGATTCAGGATTTCTATCAATCTCAAAATGTTGTAGATTATTTTCATCTTTCTTAGGTTTTACATTTTTTTTTAATTATTACAGAAACCCCGGAAAATGTAAAAAATCAAAATGAAGATAGTAGAGACAATTGGTAGTCACATTCCAGAGAGTTAACTCTTGTAGCATTTCAGGAGTCCCTTACTTCACTGAAATTTTTTCTACACACACACACATACACACACACACACACACACACACACACACACACACACTGACTAACAAAGGACCGCTATATATTTCCTGTATGTCAACTTACTACCTCATTCATCAGTGTATCATGGACACCTTTCTATGTCAGTAAATATAAATCCACATTGCTTTATGACTGCATAATATTTTATCTGATGTATACACCACAGTTTAGTTTACCAAACCCTTATAGATACTTGAATTATGTCTATCTGTCTTATAAAGATTGATGTTATGTGTTCATTCTTATAAATGATATTTGTACAATAATTTGATTTTCTTAGAATGAGTTTCTAAAAATGGAATTGCTAGATCAAAGGGCTTTTCATACTTACTGCCAGAAAATTTAAGAAAAGCTGAAATAATTTATATTCCCACTACCTGTGTATGAATTGTCCATTTATCTCCTATTAGCGAGCACTAGAAACTTGTGGCAATGTAGGAGGCTCCAAATAGTATTATACTGTTTTAATTTTAATTAGTAATAATCTTTAGAATTTTTCATGTATGGTTAATTACTTGTACTCATCTAATAAATTATTTTTTTATTGATTACTTTTATTGAGATGTTCATCTTTTCCTAATAAATTGATAGTGGCTCTTTAATTAGCAAGTGTATTAACACTGTTTCTGTTTGATGTGCTATAAATAATTCTTCTAGCTTATCATCTGACTTTTAACATGGTTTATGGCAGCTTCTGTTTTCATTTTTATCTGTATAGTATTGCAGAGCTAAATTTTAAAATAGATTTATCACTTTTTTCTACCATGGCTTTCAGATTTTGTCTTGTGCTTAAAAACTCCAAGATTGTTTTCAAGTGTAATCCCCTGTTTCCTTCAAATTCTTATAAGTTTCATTTTTAACATTTAGACCTTTGATCTATATGGAAATTGTTTTGGTATAAAGAATCCATTAATTTCGTAATTTTTTTCTTCATAGCTAGAAATTATCACAACACCTGATACTGAATAATTTATTTTTTTCCACAGAGTAGGAATGTCATATTTACCATGTACTTAATTTTCATACATACTTGTATTTATTTCTTGATTTTCCATTTTGTGCTATTCTTTTATCCATATATGTACCTATACCAAATGCTTTCAGTTTTGCAGCTTTATATTTTAATATAAGATATAACTAAAGTTGACCCTTAAACAGCATAGAGATTGGGGTGCTAACCCCATGCAGTTGAAAATCCATGCATAACCTTTGACTCCCCCAGAACTTAACTGCTAGTAGCTTACTGTTGGCCAGAAGCCTTACTGGGAACATAGTCAATTAACACATATTTTGTCCATTACATGTATTATATACTGTGTTCTTATAATAAAGTAAGCTAGAGGAAAGAAAATGTAATTAAGAAAATCATAAGGAAGAGAAAATATACTCAGTACTGTACTGTATATTTAAAAAATTCATGTATAAGTGAACACTCACAGTTCAAATATGTGGTGTTCCAGGGGTCAACTGCAATCCCAGCCCAGTACTCTTCCTTTTCAGAATTTTCTTGGATATTCTTGAATGTTTCCTTTTTTAAAATGTTTGTCCTTTTGTTAAAATTATATGTGCCGTGGTTGGAAAAGCCAAATAGTTCTACAGGATTTAAGAAAAATAGTCCTCCCTTCACTTACCTGCCTCTTAAGGACATAAGTATTTTCACATCTTTTAGTTAATATTTTGGTACTTATCTTCATCAATCTAAAAACATGTTTGGTTTTCCCTTTTTTTTAAGTATATTTATTTATTTGGAGAGAGAGAGAGTGTATGTGTGTGTGCACATGCTAGCAGAGAGGTGCGGAGAGAGAGACTCCCAAGCAGGCTCTGTGCTGATAGCACAGAGCCCAATGAGGTGGGACTCCATCCCACAAACCATGAGATCACGACCTGAGCAGAGATCAAGAGTTGGTTGCTTAACCAACTGAGACACCCAGGTGTCCCTGGTTTTTCTTTTTTAAGTATTATGTTTTGTCTTCCCCTGTAGAAGACAAGAATTTATCTCTCTTCCTATGCCATCTCTACTACACACACACACACACACACACACACACACCCTCCACATCTCTTCATTCTTCCTATGCAGTTACATTGTCATTTGGATTAGAGCCATCATCAGTATTTGATTTCTTATATGTGAGTATATCTGAGTAAATTTCTTTTCAAAGCTAAACCTTGGAAGAAACTGATTACTTGTTTTCCTGGGAAAACAAAAAATTGTCTCTATTTTTTTTTTAATTTTTTTTTT